ACATTGGATGCTATCTATGTTCCCAGCTCCACACTTAGATTAATGCAAACACATGACACTGTTTCAAGGCAAAGGATAATAAGTGAAAATAAGGTTAGGATTGGGTGTTTTTGTCTGTTTGTTTGTTTTGTCTTTTTATTCAACAGTGGACAATAGAACAAAATTCAGTAGTGGAATAAAAGAGGTGATAAAGACATTGTGTATTATGCTAGAGTTTATCTTGTGTCTTTGTTATAAACCTAGTAAGATTATATGCCATTGTGAAATTGTTTTTAATCTTCTGGTTTTAAAACATTTGGGCATTTAACAAGCTAAGAGAGAAAATTTTCCACAATGTCCAAAGATGAAAAGAGAAATTTTGATTCCCCCCTTCCTTATCTCATATGAAATTTGGTTCCCTAATTTGGCTCTCATCTCATTGTGATTCATCTAATAATAATAATAATAATAATAATAATAATAATAATAATAATAATAATAATAATAATAATAATTTTTTATTTCTATACCGTCCTATGGTGAACCAATCTGGGCGGTTTACAACAATTAAAAGAACAATAAAGATAAAACAGTATATTCCCTCACCCCTTTAAAACATTATTGAAAATAATTTATGCAAAGGAGACAAATCATAAATTACAAGTAGTTTCAGATAACAAGCAAGGTGTCGCTCCCAGAGTCATTGACTGAAAAGAAGGCAGAGAGAGATGGAAACCTGTAACAAATCTACATCTTTGCACTCTCAAGAACACATAAAAGCACCCCTCAGTCCCTGTGTCTGAGATCTTGGGGAACAATGACAGCATTTAGGAAGCGTCACAGTACTTGCAACACCTTGGGTCCATGATGCAAAGAGGTCCAACTCTATGAACCAAGCTCTTAGGAGAGCTAATGGAGAAGTTCTGGAGTCCTATCTCTGTCTATGAGGCTTTCTGATATTTTTTGTTTTCTGAGCAGTACTTTCTCTCCCATGATGGGCGACTTTCTGTGTCATGGCCATGTAGTCAGAAGAGAATCTGATGAAGGCCTCTCAGCTTCTGGGGAACTCCTGATCAGTTCCCACAGTGGCATCTGCCATTTCCATTTCTAAAGCTAAAGGGATCACCACTGTTCTTTCCAAAAATTGCAATAGACTAAAAGACCCACATTGTTCTTATATTTTGATAAAGAGGAAATTGAAAAATTACTCATTCCACTTTGGGATTATACTATGTGCCTAATAAATGTACATCTGGAATGCTGAAATGCCCTGGCAAATTCAAAGGTGGGTGGGATTGTATTCCAGGGGAACCCCAATGATTCTAAGGCTATTTGGAAAAAAAATCAGATGCCAATGGAGATAGAAATGTGAACTGCAAAGACTATTTATACTATTTACTCATATTTATCTTGTATTTTGGAACTCATATTCCTAGTTCTCATTTCAATAAACAAAATTGATCCCCTGCTCTGATCCAGAAGGTCATCTTTATGCCATCTTTTATTTGCAGTCACCACTGAGATGTTAAACATATGATTAGGTCTAATCCCATCGTAAAAGTTGTCCGAATTAATATAAATAATATCTTACCTTCACTGATAATATCCTCCTTTTTCTATCTAAACAATGAAAACCAAAGCCATTCCAGAGTCAAACAATTCTCTAAAACATTTCCAAACTCACTCTGCACTAAAGGTCAATTATATTATATCTAAACTTGTATGCATTAGCATTCCATTTGCAATCCAGCACAGAATCTAAGGGGGACTGCTGATGGGTGGCTCTGGGCTGCCCTGGGAAGCGGCTGATCAGGGCTACGGCAACCCCATGCTGAAGCCCCGATCCTCCCTTTTGCTGCCCCAAAAAAGAGCAGCAAAATGCTGCTCCTTTTAGGAGCAGCAAAAGGCCACACTAAGAGCTGGCATGTGCCTCTTCAGCGCACTTTTCGGCACAGCATGTTTGAACGCTGCAGTGGAAGGGCATCAGGATGGCATCGGCATGGGATTGAGGTGGCCAGTGTGCAGCTGTCCCACCCCAATGTCTCCAGGCCAGCCCTTTGTCTCCAGGCCAGCTCTTCACTTTTGTTGTTGTTAATTGCCCTTGAGTCAATCACGATCCATGGAAACCCTATGGATGAGATATCTCCAATACTCTGTCTTCCACTGCTTTACTTAAATCCTGCAAACACATGCCCATGACCTCCTTAACAGAGTCCATCCATTTGGCATGTGGGCTTCCTCTCTTCTTACCTCCCTCCACCTTTGTCAGCATTATTGTCTTTTCTAATGAGTCTTCCCTTCTCAAGATGTATCTGAAGTATGACAGCCTCAGTTTGGTAATCTTGGCTTCCAGGGAGGTTTCTGTCTTGATCTGCTCTAGGACCCATTTGTTTGTCCTTTTGGCTGTCCATGGGATCCTCAACACTCTTCTTCAGCACTATTCTCAAATGAATTGATTTTCTTCCTATCATCTTTCTTAACTGTCCAGCTCTCAAATCCATACACGGTAATAGGGAATACAATGGCTTGTATGAGTCTGCATATCTTTGCATTTCAGAATCTTTTCTAGTTTTTTCATAGAACCCTCCCCATTCTTGGGGCCTTTGCAGACTGCTAGAAATAGTGCAAATTGAGTCCACTTTAACTGCCCTGGCTCAGTGCTAGGGAATCATGGGAATTGTATTTTTTTCTGAAACATTGAACCTTCTCTGTCAGAGAGCTCTGGTGCCACAATAAACTACAGTTCCCATGATTCCTTAGCACTGAGTCAGGGCAGTTAAAGTGGACTCAATTTGCACTATTTCTGGCAGTCTACAAAGGCCCTTAGGTCTTCTTCTGATTTCCTGACTGCAGTCCACATTTCTATCAATGTTTGATCCAGGTATGGAAATTCTTTTACTATTTCTATTTCTTCATTGTCTAGGTTGAACTTGTAAAGATCCACAGTGGTCATTATTTTTGTTTTCTTTATGTTCCATAGTCTGCCTTTGAACTTTCTTCTTTGATCTTCCTTAGTAGGTGTTCCAGATCTGTGAGGTTTTCTGCTAGTATTCAACTATTCATGTGTTGTTAGCACAAAGGACTAGAGACATGCACAAATAGAAACTAGAACGCATTGACCCTCTGGATAAAAGAGAAAGTGAAAATATGAAGCTCTCAACACCTCTCAGTGCTTGACATATTAATATGCTTATAGAGCCAAAATAATAATAATAATAATAATAATAATAATAATAATAATAATTCTGCCTCTCTGTGCAACACAATCGGGGCAGCTTACACAATAAAATACACAATCCCATATCCCAATAACCCCCCCATACAATTAAACAGTATACAGATTAAAACATACCTTAAAATAACAACAAATCAACAATAGCTGTCACAGAAATCAAGGAATAATAGGTTCAACTTATTTAGTGGAATAAACTTATCTATTCTGGAAAGGCCTGCTGAAAGAGATCCATCTTTCTGAAAGCTGTTTAAGGTAGTAGACCTCATCCAGCAGGCCATTTCATAATCTAGGAGTGGTTGCAGAAAAGGCCCTCTGGGAGATAATCTAGTAGTTACAGGTTGCAACAAAAATTTTCTTTTGCAAGCTGTTCCAGTCCAACCAGTTGTTAAAATATTCTCCACCTGGCCATAAATAAATAAATAAAGGGCCTAAAAATAAAATTAGGTTTACCAAGGGGAGCGGCAGATTGGGGCTGTGCCAATCCCATGCCGTGGCCCCAATCCTCCCTTTTGCCACCCTGAAAAGAGTGGCAAAATGCCACTCCTTTTAGGGGTGGCAAAAGACCACCCTAAGAGCCAGCGCCGCGGCTCTTCTTTGCCCTTTTGGTGCAGCATGTTTAAACGCTGTGCCGGGAAGGCATCAGGATGGTGATGGAGTGGAGTTGGGGCAGCCGGTGTGCAGGTGCCCCGCCCCAACTCTACCCCTAGGCCAGCCCTTTGTGCCGGTCTGCAGAGGCCCTAAAGCAGCAATATGTAAACTAGGGCATTCCAAATCTCCAAATTCATTAAATGTTATTCCATCTTCAGCAGTCAATACAGGTTATCCAGGCTAAAGATTTAACCTATTGGTGAATATAGAGTTCAAAGGGCAAACTCTGTATTATTTTGGAATTTCCTTCTGATCCTTCCACAGGAGTATTACAGGCAGTTTCACTAACCCACTCTTGGTAGACAGTTGGCTGGCTTAGTGGTGTGGTGCAAAAAAAATCTTTCCCTTTATTGTCTCCTATCTATGGTGCCAGCTCATAGCTCTAATGTCTGTGGGGCAATGCATCCACTCTGGGATTTAGTCAAAAACATCTAAGGACTGAACATATTTTGGGTTTCAATGATATTGGCTTAATGTGAGGAAGGTGAAATTGAAGCTCATTAGCTTCATAGAATTTGCTAGAACAGGAATAAGGAACCTAAGAACCCAGGAGCAAACCTCGTCCTCCTGGCATCCCAATGCAGCTTTTTAGGTTAAGCCCCTTTCCCCAGGTGGTTATACATTGTCCAGCTGATACCAGTGTTTGATAATTTCCCAGATTTTGCACAGTTTCCCACACATTTTCTCATAAGGCTAGTTACTGGCACTAAGTTTTTTTAACTAAAATATGCAGAGTTTCTTTCTTTCTTTCTTTCTTTCTTTCTTTCTTTCTTTCTTTCTTTCTTTCTTTCTTTCTTTCTTTCTTTCTTTCTTTCTTTCTTTCTTTCTTTTTTATCCTACCTTCTTGCCTTTGGTCCTGTCCACCACTGGAGTTCCTTTAAAAGAACAATTTATCTGAAATTGTATTTGGCCCATGGGTTGAAAAAGATCACTGGCACTTGTGCTACAACATGAGAAGACTGTTAAGTAGGATTTTGTAAAACAACGATCTTATGAAGTAAAAATGTAGACTCTGTGTTGCTGTTGTTGTGTGCCTTCATGTCATTACTGGCTTATGGTGACTTTAAAGGGAACCTATCATGGGATTTTCTAGGGCTGAGAGTGTATGATTAATCCAAGTTCACCTGGTGGGTTTCAATGGCTATGTGGGGAATTGAACCCTGGTCTTCAGATTTGTAGTCCAACACTCAAACCACTATACCATACTGGCTCTTCTACAGTATAATTCCATCCCAAATCTGCCATGGAAAGAGAGGGAAACATATAATACAGAAACAGTCACAGCAGCATAATGGGTGGGAAAGAACAGTAAAGAATAGTAAAGCTTTAAGTGTAAACTAGCAAAAGGTGTATAGCGAGATCTTGTAGCACCTTTGAGACCTGGGGCCTTTGCAGACTGCCAGAAGTAGTGCAAATTGAGTCCACTTTAAGGGTTAGGGTTAGTGCTAGGGAGTCATGGGAACTGTTTTCCCCCCCTGAGACATTGAGTCTTCTCTGTTAGAGAACTCTGGTGCCACAATAAAATACAGTTCCCATGACACCCTAACCCTAACCCTTAAAGTGGACTCATTTTGCACTATTTCTGGCAGTCTGCAAAGGCCCTTACTGAAATAAAGAAGTTAGCAGCATGAGCTTTCATAGACTTCAGTCTACTTCCTCAGATGCATTTAGTGAACTGGACTTGCTACTTCATTTCCATACACAAAGGATTTTGAATTTGAACTGACATTCTCACATACCAATGGCATATATATATCTGTCCCTGGTTTCCACTCCACTGAATGCATCTGAGGAAGTATCACAAGTAAAGTACTGTAGAAGCCTTGGGGCTATGTACATCCTTGTGGTTAATATAAAACAAACCTTCAAATATTTCATCCATTGACAGACTCATGGTCTTCAATATGACACATAAGTCTCTCAAGTTCTATTTCACTGTGACTTTCATTTTAGTATGGTTAAGTTTTTTCATCCTGTTCCTGGATCAGACCAAAAAAAAATGTTGTCTTTATAAATTTAAAAGAATATATATTTTCATGTGAATTTTCCTTTAAAATATGGTATTTTTATGCAATTAAAAAGTGTATGCAGTTTTGTGTGCTGTATATGTTTCCCAAGTATTTTACTGTTTTTTTTAAATAGAACATTTGATTATAGATTTGTGCACATTTTTCAACATATTCATGCTTTTCTGTGCACCTTTTCTGTGCTTTATTCTATACTTAGATTTGCAAACTACATTACAAACTTTGAAAGAGTACATACTTTGAATTCTAAATATATTCTGGCTCACATTTAAATTCATTTAGTATGAATTTGGTACTTTCACCTTGAAACACTTGAATGAAGTAAAAAAGACTCTCACCTGTCCCTTCTCTCTACAGCCAAATTTGAGTGCCAAATAGTTGGATCCATGCATTAGATCTATGTATGTTGCCAGTACTACTACTAGAATTATACTACAGTGACAACAAAGAGAAACACATAGTAAAAATGCATGTAGACCATTAATGCAGAAATGGAACACAGTTATGTGTAAAATTCCAAAAACTTACAGTGGCATAATTTGGAGGAAAGAATGTCCATCAGTATAGTTCCTTCAAATCTGTTACTTTTCTATTTTAAAGGAAATAGCATAAAATTTTTGTATGATTTTACATGAAAGGATGGGTTAATAAGTTACAAATTGAGGAAGAAGATTTCACTGAAATGTCCATTTATCTCTCAAAGGCGAAAAGTAAGACAAATTGTATGAATGGCCCATAGATGCTTTTTCTGTATCCATTTGGCCTAGCATGCCAAGATGCTTGTTGCTCAGAGATGTAAAATTGACTCTTTTTTTTTTTTGATCTAATGTTCCAAGTGGATGCAGAGAAAATGGAAATTAAATGATTGCTCATATTTTAAGGCCATCATCCTGTAATTTAAGCTGTTCTTGTGAAGAGGATATAAATCTTAGCTTGATGTTGAAATATAGAAATAATGTGTATAGAGGAGGGGGTGGGGAGGGAATCACATGCACAACTTGCATCTAGCACAATTTGAGAGTTATTATTTTTCACAAGGCTTTGATTATAAATAAAATTCATGATAAAGTTGAGTATTTATTATGACAGCTGCCTCATTTCCCCCCTCTCTATATTTAAGGTAGATATCAATCAGTTTGCCTTAAGCTCAATATTTGATTATTAATATTATATAACATAAATTTATGCTAATCATGTTGCATAGTTAGGGTGGTATATATTATTCACTCCTTCTATCCTTTTATGTTTTGTGTTTACATTTTTTAGAAGGTTTAGCAGGAGTACAACACAGAATATTGCCTGATGACATGGTTATGTTAAAGATCATAATGGCACACTGAACAACACCATTTTATGCAAGATATTCAGGATATAAGTCAAGGTTCCTTATGCACCTCAAAGACATCCATTTTCCATATGTTCACTTGCTGTCTCTGGAATTAGGTTCACACATACTTGGTTATCACTTGATTATACCATGTTCTGGAAACTGTAGAGCCATAGAGTTTATAGAGTTCCACAGACTATTGCAAATGCATATAGTGAAACTGTTGTGCTGCCACAAAAAGGTTTTTCTGTGTATTATGGGTCTACATTTTACTTCTGGTAAGATTTAGAAATTTGAGTTTGAAGCTGTATCTGTAGTTTTTTCATAGTATGGAAATTCTATGGTTAATATATGTGTATGAGAGCCAATATGATGCAGTGGTTTGAGCTTTGGGCTACAACCCTGGAGACCCGGGTTCAAATTCCTGCTTAGCCATGGACACTCACTGGGTGATCTTGGACAAGTAACACTTTCTCAACCTCAGAGGAAGGTTAAGGCAACTGCCCTCTAAATAAATTCTGCTGAGAAAACCGTGTCATAGGTTCACCGTAGGGTTGTCATAAGTTAGAAATGACTGGGAGGCACACAACACCACTGTGACTTCAGGACTTTAGGGTAGTATATGTGATTTTCCTCCAACAACCTATACCCTGATTATACTGAGAATGTGATTGCTCCAAAATCACTCATATAGGTTTGCAGAAGCTTCCAATTGTATATCAGGAACAAGGTTTATGGGAGCACTTTTCAAACAGGTTCATTACTGGTTCCTTCTTTTCCTCCTCCAAGGAGAAGATATTGACCTTGTTTCAAGGGTGTTTAACAAGGCAGCAGTTTGAGAACTCTCAAACTTCCTTCTTCCCTATGGAAATAACAGGATGAGTCTCTGGCCCTACTATGACAGGCAGCATTCATTCTAATACGAGTAGGAAGAGCTGCTTAGATGGAATGTGGAATAGTGCTTATCATCTCACTGTGTTTCACAAGCTATGTGTATGCACTTTGACATTAGGGCAAAGTGAAGATGGTGGTAGCTTTTTGGGAACAAGATAAACATGACTTTTCTCATAACCATGACATTTTCACCTGCTGGTAAGACACAGCTTACGAAAAGGTTATTCTTTTTTGGGGGAGGGACTATTTACCATAAAATGTCTAATCCACATGGTCACCATGAGTTGGGATCAACTAGTGGGCAGCTAACAATAACAATATGCCTTGAAACAAAGAAAAATATGTTACTGGATTTGCTGATTTTATCTTCATATTATAAACTACTATGATAAAGGAGTTGCTAAAGTGAAATTTCATATTATCAAAAACTGACCTGTGAGAAATGCATCTTAAGTAAGTCCAAGGAAGAAAGTGATTGTTATACTTTAAAGCACTGAAAACCCTTATGCTTTGCTTTGAAAGCTGAATTTCAAAGATGCAGCTACTGTGCGTGTGTGTGTGTGAAATGAGTGCACTATCCTCCCCATAATTCTGCCCTCCATGATATGATATTTTCCTTCAGTTCTCCAATTTTTAGCATTTCAATAATTTAAAACTTCAATTGAATACTTAGAAAGAAAGATATTCGAAGAAAAAAGGTAGCAAATTTACCAAAGGAATGCAAGCACAGCAAATATAACCATTCCAAGTGCAAACAAATTTCAGTGTCTTAGGGGAGTTGCAGACCGGCCCAAAGGGCCAGCCTGGGGGTGAAGTTGGGGTAAGGCAGCTGCACTCTGGCTGCCCCAACCTCAACCCAATGCTCTCCTGATGCCGCATGTGGCATCAGGATGCCCTCCCAACACAGCTTGTAGACACGCTGTGCTGAAAGGGTGTGGAAGAGCCGCGGTGCTGGCTCTTAGGGTGGCCTTTTGCTGCCCCTAAAAGGAGTGGCATTTTGCCACTCTTTTAGGGGCAGCAAAAGTGAGGATCAGGGCTGCGGCATGTGGTTGCTGTGGCTCTGATGCACTGCTAGCAGGAGTGGCTCAGAGCCACCTGTCTGCATAGCCCCATAAGCTCTGCAAAGGTAGAAAATTGGGGACTGAACAAAAATTTCATTTTGGAGGCAGAATTCTTATTTGGAAGGTCAAACCTCTCCTTTTGACCCCTCTGTATCCACACCATTGCATAGCTGGCCTTGTTGAACTTCAATCCCTCCCTGCCATCCCACAACAGGTCATGTTTTTAAAAGCTTTAAACAGGACAGAATGAAAGAATAGCTGTAAAGCCAATATGTAACTTGGTCTGCTGACAGGATAACTGTCTTTAGATGAGTCTCATATCAGTGTCCCAACATGCAAGCATCAAAACCCCTCTCCACAGGTAAGAAATGAGAAATTTTCAGGGCCATTGAGCACTACGCATGTTCACAGTGGATCGAGACTAAAACTATTTAGTTCTGGTGCTTCTGCAAATATGCTACACTGAAAAGCTCGATATTGTTCAGTGGGCCTCAAAATTTCATGAATGAACTGTAGACTATTGAACTATAACTGTAATATTGTGTGTATCACAGAATAAAATACAGGTCAAATGCCTGAAATGTTTTTATCTTGTCACTTATTAAGATGCATAGGAATATTAAGATACCAAGAGATCCATTGCTATTTGTATTGTGCATAAAATACAGGAAAATCTTATGCCTGACAAAAGATATTGGAAATAACTAAATGTTAATGATCAACACCTATAAGATATTGCTAGTGTGTGCTATTACTACTACTACAAAATATAGGTGGTAAAACAAGTTATGTCCCCATAACATTATCTAGTAGTTCATTAGACAATATATGTTCCACTCCAGCTGATGGATCTGGCAGATAGAAGACTACAAGAGGAGATTGTGGTTGACCTTCTGGTTCT